GGCGCAAAGTTGGGTAAAGAAAAGTGCACGGATGCATGCACACGTTCCGCTCGCTCGTAATATTATAGAATGTCGAGGACGGGTAACGAACCAAGTACTTGTCCCATAAGTAAATCAGTGTAACAAGCCGGTCTATCCACCGTTCGAGCGGAAGCTCGCTACGTTCCGTGCCGGAACGAAGAAACCTCGAACTTCTTTCATCACGCCCGAGCGAGTTCCTGCAATTCGATTTAAGGGTCGATCCCGTTCGAGCGACGGTTCCGGTGCACAAACGAAATCCGAGACGATGACGAATTTCGAATTTTAAGCGGGACGTCGACATTGCAATATGAATACTTATGAAGCTCCCAGGGAATTCGTAAAGTATTATGGACTCTGACGAATAATGCACCGTCTTTAAATCGAATTCGAGGAATCAAGCTGTACTGTGGTCGAATCAAGCCCAACCAACGATATCCTTCTGATCAATGTATAGAATTTTAATCACGATCGAAAGCTTTTGAATAATACACAATTCGTGCGAGTTTAGCGACGAATCGATAATGTTGCTCCGATATTTTATTGATTCGAAGAACATGAATGTGTACTTGGGTATTTTCCGGAGCGATAAGAATAGGAAACAGAGAAGAAGAAAAGGTCGAAAAGAGGCTATGGAACGAGTGGAAATAAAATGTTAGCCCATAACTATCCAGGGTTTCGTATATCCTACGACAACGTTATCTATCCCTATGGTTAAGCCTGACGCAGACGTAACGTCCTTTCTTGGTCGTTGGTCGGCTTAATCCGCAAATCCCGGGACACGTCCCGATCCATTGGCCTGGATATCGTTGGACGGTGGTAAGTAAAAAGCGAGGAATCGTTTCCTCGTCTCTATCGGTTATAACCTTGACTGGTTGTTTGGCGCCAGGATACGAAAATAAGGCTGTCGAGTTTGGTGTCTGTTAGTAACTAGGAGAGGCCATTTAAATCTCCCAGGTCGAGTAATTTACGAAGACGTTGCTTTGATCCAATTTCAAGGGATACTAGCGACCGTGGATCTTCACCCTTTTAGCGCCACCATTTCAGCGTTTGCGTGAAATTTATCAAAGGATATTCGCTGGCTTAGTAGTAGCCTCTGTACGTTTCACTGTATCTAATTTCAGTTTCCGTGCTGACTTCGCGTTACTTACAACCGTTCAAAATAAATCTATCACCGTTTCAGCGAGAAGCAGAATTTCAAGCGACAGCGTTAGAGAATTCGTGAATCATTACCTTTGAAAAATGTCTAAGGATCTCTCATCGATCTCGCGAATTGACGCGGTAATTTAACAAGCAGCTCTCGACCTAATAACTTTTGATCGGGAACGCAAAAGACCCGTAAGCACCCGTGGCATGTACTTACGTAACCAAGCAAGTTTGCCGCATGTGCGAAGTTTCTGGATCGATATTATCAGGAAACTTGTCGATGAAATTAATTGATGGTAATACCGTAAAGAGAGCGACGTCATGGTTATTAGCCGGAGAAGTCGTCCTAATGGCATACTTTGGAGTACTCGAACCACCGACGGCGCGAGTAAAGATATATTTTCCTCTCATTTCTCATTCTCTGTGCTAGCCGCATTCCGACCGGTTAAGTGCCTCGACAAGATCCGAAAGCTACTCTGGTCTCTACCGCGTCGCTCGTCGTTTAAGAATCCACGGTTTCGGTAGTTTCGTTCCGCGATTCGTTAAGGAAAGAAACGAAATCCGGCGATAAAAGTTTCGCGCTAACAAGCGGAAAAAGTAACAAAATTCTGGCGCGGTAAAGAAGTTGCACGTGGTATTACTACTTACTTCTTCGTAACCTCGAGCCTTAATCTACATAATAACAGTGGCCACGATTAAAAACGTCTTCGTGCGTCTGCAGGGGCTCTAAATTAATATTCCACCGAACTTGAACAACTGGCTGGAGAAACTTCTCTCTTGAACGTACCAAGAAACTCGCCGCCGAGTCCCGAGGGTTTCATTAAGATATTTCGACCGAGCAAACGAGCTTTGCTTATTGCAGTTTTCGGCACTAATTAGTATCCGACAGAGACGAACTTCGAGAGCCATTCGTTTCGCGAGCAAACCCCTTCGCGCTTCTCCCTTTCGTTTCGTCTCGTTTCGTTTCGTGCCGCGCAAACCCGTGTGTCATTATCCACAATTACCGAACTCATCATTTCCTCCGTGAAAGCTAAGCCAACTAACGACCACGATTTAACGCTAATCATTTTTCCAACACGTGTGAACGTCTACCGATCAATTTAGAACTTATATTCGAACTGGAGAAGGGACTCGGGGGATGGGAGAGAGCTCTTCGAGTTGCCGATGTCGGGTTTAATCAGTCGGTGAATCGATGGCTTTAATTAAGGAAACATCTTACAGCGAGTTGGCAAGGTGCGGCTAGGTTAATACCCTAATGTATACATTAACCAACTACCAACCAAACGTATCTATATTCGTACGTACACGCGACACAAGTGTAACCAGCAAACGGACCCGCAAACCAGCCGCATCTCGAGCTGTTCGCAATGTCCGTTACTCTGTCTACCTTATATCCATCGATCTGCTCCAAATCCAGCACTCTCCATTCCAACCTGATTCGCGCTACTCGCAGGAAATGAGATTCGGAAGCGAATGAAAGCAGGTAGTACAGTCTTGCAAAATGAATTACATATCCGGGAAACGGGTATCTCTTGGTATACTGTAAAAGTCGAACATGTTCGATTTACCCGGTGCTACCTGATCGTAAAACTATTCCGTGACTCGGTATTTTTATTTATGCCCCGTAAATTGAACCATCCTCCTTATCTATGGCGAACGATCGACCAAGATTTATTCACGCGAAATCATAAAATTTCTCTAAAACTTGAACGTTAAATATCTTTCCAACTGGAACATCGTGACTGTTCGAGGCTTGAATTTAGGTTTAGCGGGATCGCGTCGGGAACGATTTAATCGATGTCGACGACAAGGGAAGGCCGGATCGGGGTGTCTGATCCGACAAGGACGATCAGTGAATTGGGCGATCGACGACACCGCGTTCAACACGCATCTGACGTACACACGAAGGGGTATGGGCATCGTGATACGCTCGCAACGCCTCTTGTTTCCCACGATTCTGCGAGAGAAACCGTGACAACGCTCGAGGAAGGAAGAAGAAACACGGATGGAAGAACAGAGAGAGGAGACCGAGAGAATAATCCGCTTAGATGGTCCGACACGCATGCCACGCTACTCACGATGTCTCTCTTAGGGCAGAACCACCACGGGAGTGCGTGTAACGCCGGCAGAGATATCCAGGATGGAAATAGAGAGGACCATCGCGGCGGAAAATCGTGGAACATCGTGATTTGCACGCGCGTCACACGCTGCTAACAAGCGATGATTCATCCGGAATACGAGAGCAAACTAATTTCTCAGGATACCGTGTTGCGAGAGTTCTAACCCTTGGATAATCGAGGTCAAAAACGAAATTTTAAAATTTTGAAGGATCTACAGGCCCTGGAAAGAATCGCGGGGGCAAGCGTTAATCCTAGATAAGACCCTTTAGTCTTTCTAAGAGACGTGACGAACCAAAACAGCATTACTTTTTTTAGCGGAAAATATGAAGATCAAAAGAATTGAGACTTTAAAGGATCAAGCTACACGGGGAGGTACAAGGAACGAGTACTTTGGCTCCGTTCCAGTCGTGGAAATTTTGTAGTTCGACGCGTCACGAATTTTGTTTTTCGACGGTCGTTTAAGTAGATCGTGCTCGAGCCAAGCCAAAGAGGGATTTTTTTTTCGGGAGGGTTCGTGTTATTAACGGACTCAATATCCTGACCCCCTGATAGGGTGCCTTCAGGGTGTTCGCGGCAGCTTGACGCCGGATATGAACGACCGATGTCACGTCACTGACAACGATAGATACGTTACAGGACGTATTTCGGCTATTTTGATATCCGTCGGCCGGTACGATTCGACACCTGTCGAAATTAATCGAGCCATCGGCGTGGGATCGATGGGAAAAGCTTTCAAGTTGAAACGAAGGTTGAACTTTACTTCGGGGGCCCGAAAATTATGACCCTTTTTTTTATCTTCTTGAAGTATTTAACAAGTAAAATCTAAAAATCTAAGTTTTAAGGCGCGGAATCCATCGGTTCAGAAGTTATGCGTATGTAAAAGTGAGCGTTTTTAGCGTATTTCACAGGTTATTTCAAATAGACTGGTATTGTTTATGAAAAAAAAACTAACCTTAGGTACACCGGGTTTAGGTCGCCACTTATGTAATTCTGTTTTACCGACGGCGACTCCACTCATTGGACGACAACAGGCTACAAGACAATATGGCGTCGAAGTGACGTCAAATACGCTCAGTTTTATACACGCATCACTTCTGAACCGATGGATTCCGCGCCTTAAAACTTAGATTTTTAGATTTTACTTGTTAAATACTTCAAGAAGATAAAAAAAAGGCCATAATTTTTGGGCCCTCGAAGTAAAGTTCAGTCGAAACGAATGACTTTTCGAATCCCTAACCCCCCCCCCCCCCATCGTCTTGTAACATTCGACGCTGACAGGTAATTTCTCTTCGCCGTTGTTTGACTTTCTTGCTAGTTGAATTTATTTACCGATATCGGCGACCAACAAAACACAAAACCGTGGCTGCAACTCGATACACAAAGAGACGAAATATCGAAGGTAGTATATCATGCATTATCAGCGAATGTTCGCGTACGACAACAACGTGGAAGCTATTTGCCTGCAATAATGTGTCTCAGTTGTGTGTTTGCTAAAAATATAACCAGTGAGAGCTATTCAATAATACATCGATTCAATTTGATCGAATTCATATTTAAATTTCTAAAATGGCGTTCTGTTTGTCAATCGTGTCAGAGTTGACAATGTTGACGCGGAAATATTCGAGCGTTCTTTTCGCTTGCACCTGTCGCTGTATTATACATATATTATAACGCATAATCGAATCACGATATTGCATGTAATTATTATTTACTCACCTTGATGCGTCGAAATGATGATTTATCTCCCGGTGATGTAACCGCGAACAATCACAAAATGGCCTCCAAACAGGACAACGTAGACGCGTGAACACAAATACGCATACGACGCGACGCATTCGCGATCAAAATACCGAGAGGTTTCCTGTCGTATCTAACCGATCACAAAGGCTCCGATAGAACGTAAACACATTTACACCGTGCACACGCAACTATTCGTTTACCATGTTCGTTTACATACGCATATACTATCTAATGACATTTCACGGCTTGATTCCCAGGACGTACTACGCACAATTCGTATACACTTCGATGTCTCAATTAGAGACGAACTTCACTTCTTTCCGAACGCACTCCGATCACGCACGATTTCACCCGAAGTTGGCGATATTGAAACTAAATGTCTTCGGTTCGCACCCCTCCCCCCAGCAGTTTCGCGACTAGTCACTAGAGTTCGGAACCGCGAGTTCGACGACACGCATTTCGGTAGTTAAATACGTATTAATTTAGCAAGTGTAAAAGTGTTTGATAAGTAAATGGCGTTAATTACCGACCAGGAGTGTTTGTTGGACACGAGGGATGGATAATGGGACAGGAGGAGCCGGACAGACATCGCTTTACGAACGAGTAAGTGATTGAATTGTTTTATGATTTTTTTCCTTCTTTTTCACTGCGTTGCCGCCATGTTTGTTTGCTACTGAATATTGAAAAACGAAGCGTTCAAAGAAACACTTACCTGCGCGATAAAAATAATGCTATTTTATCGAATATATTTGTGCGAATAAATACAGAGTTGATGGAAAGTCAACGATTGCACGATCGTGGTGATATCCACGACCAGACTTTCATTCCGTGTTCGATGCATGGCATGTACACGAAAACGGGCGTGGGTAATGGATCCATTCGTGGCGTGTAATTCAAGTGTTTCGCATTATCCATTGCAAACTAGTGTTCGTGTACGTCAGCACGAACTGCATTCGGTGCAATGGGCTGCAACGTGCAACACAGGCTGCGCCAATGCACTGATCTTGAATCGGTAAACCGGCTGGAACTGGCCATGAATTCCCATGATTCCGCGTCGATACGTTTTATCGTACGTAGAAATTGTTTTTGCCCGCTAACGATCGTTCGTCATGAAATTTCTCTGCTCGTAAGGATAGCCATACAACACGGTTGATTTGCATGAAAATATTCTGTTCTCGATAGCTAGGTGACCCATGTGTATAACATAAACGAGTAACGACCAGCAATTTTTCATCGTTCACAGGAAATCCGTAAAGGAGAAAAAAAAGGTCAAAACTCTTAGGCTCTGAAACATTCGATGCACGCTTTATTTGTCGTAGGAAATTATTGATGCTCATCAACGTAATCTCGATACACGTGTTTCGATTACGTCTACGTAATCGCGGTACGATTACGTGGCAATTTTCTGAAACTCGATTAAATGTCTGCAAGTTGCATAGATACACAGGGGGACGATCGCAATTACTCTCCGTAGAAAACCGCCACGAGCGGCTAATATACTTTGTAATTACTCTGACGCGATGGGAAAGGGACCGCGTATGCGTGCGATGCCCTGGGGTCACCCAAGGTACTTCGATCATTAAGTAATCTCGATACGTTGCATAAACTTACTTTCTCGAAAATTGTACATGAAAAGTACTTGATTTTCCTTCAGTTTGCTTCATAAAGGTTACGCTACCGTGGGTCACCCGCGGCCCACGGTGTTCGTTTAGCATTCAAATATGCTAAATGATCGAATTTTCTACAGAATCTCGGCGTAAATTTTCAAATTCACGTGGCACGAAACGTGGCTAAGAGCATTTCGAGGTGATATCTGGTTTGAACGGAGTCTTGTTTTGTTTTCGTCGCCGGTAGGCTCTCGCTTCCTGGAAATAAAGGGGCTGTTGTGAATCGAAGGACGGTAAAGTTGGACGGAAGCGAGGCGTGGAAAATTTATCCAGGGCTCAATTGTGCCGTAAAATAGACGGAGATTGCGTTTGTCTGTCGCAAGGGGAAGGTGTAAATCCGCGTGGGAGACGTTCGCAGGTTGGCAATCGCGTAACCGTGCTTTTGCTCACGCACGCGAATGCCACCCTCTCCTACCGTGCTCTCCTCGCAGCCTCATGGCATTTGCATATTTATGACTGTTTATAATGTATAATTGACGGGAATCCGCACACCATCGTGGTAAAGCTACCACCGGGGCTACACTGCCTTCTGCGAGCCGCCAAATCAGATTACCGGCTTTGCATTTTGGCTCGACCTCGGTCACCACCACCCACGACCATCACCGCCGTGACTTCTCTCCTTTCCACCACCTATTCCCTTTCAACCTCTCTCTTTCATTCAGAACTCTCTTAGCCCGCTCGTTTTCCCTTTGGATCCTCCGAAGTACCTACCTGTGTTGGTGTATTTTCGTTTTCCCTTCTTTTTTGCGACTTGCCTGCCGGAAGAGGGAGCAATTAAAACGAGCGAGTGTACGGAAGTGGCTAGATCTGTTGGCAGGGCCCGGGTCGCTTGCTTTTTCACCTGTCGAGTGGCTCGAACGACGTTGAATTTTACAGCCACGCGATTATGCGAGAAGAGCCAGTCGACGCGCGACTAGTCTCTGCGCTCTTAAGTGTGATTAGCAAAACGATGAATTATTCAGAAAGCTGTCGTTTAATTGTTTGCTCTTCCCTGCCGGCGACCTGCTAGATTCATCGAATTCCTCTTAGACCAGACGGGCCGTGTTTATTTATTTTCAAAGTGTCCTTCTCGCTGAACAAAGATGCGACCTGGGAGGATGTTATCCCAGGCAATCTTGATAATACAGCTTAAACCCGAAGATGGACACACCTTTGCTCTGTTCTTCAATCAGCTTAACCGGATAACGTCCCGCGACAATCGTTTCCAACAGATTCACGCGTGGCTTTTCGATCACGGCTCGACGTTACTTCTAACAAGATCGCTTTTAATAATCTGTACGTTCTCTTTTTGAGCTCGGTTTAAAACAATTCAGAATTCGAATGAATCCAAGTATCGTTTCTTTCGAATACACGGGATTTCACTATTTTTCAACGTGAAAGACGAGCGTATGTTCTCACCCTGAGAGTCTGGCGAGGGCAGACAGGGCAAAGGAACGTCGCCTTTCACTCGAGGTGGTGCACAATGCTCTTGACAAAAGGTTACAACCGGTTAATTTTCTAGTTAACGAGAACAACCGTGTCGTACGTGGCAGTCGTGTTCGCGCGCCGCTTTCTACCGGCCACTTTAAAGCTGCTTACATCGTTCCAGCAGGTTGAAAACTTTTGCCACGTAACCTCTGACATCAGTTACTTTACTGAAACGCTCTCTTTGACCTACCAATTTCCACGGTTCGCGTCATCCTCGCGCGTTTCGCCGTTTCCTTTTCTCTATTCGTCCCGGCTCCACGAGAAGCTGAAAAATTCGTAAACGCACGCGCGTATTTTCACCGTCCGTTCTTCTTTTTCCGGCTTGAACAATGCGTTGCGTTACTCGCAAGGACGTATTTTCCTAGTACTTTATGGTACTTTACGCTACCTCGGCTCTGAATAATGTATCGCTACGGAATTCCACGTTTCAAACGTTGTTTGCGAAACGACGAGCTGGTTTTACGCGGAAATCTGGTATGCGGCAATGAGCTGGCTCTCATAATTTAGGCTAGATTTTGCGACAAGATAAATCGACGATTTTAACTCTTTACGGTCGTATTTCCTGACCCATGCGTATTGTGCATCGTACGATAATTAAAAGGATCTGAAATCTTGAAAAGCCTTGTAATAAATACTCGGTGGTATCGTTACACGGAACGTTGCTGTGAATATTTCGTTCGGATCCCTTTAATCGGAGGCAATAAAACAGACCATAAACTGTACCACGTCCGTGTGCGTTCGGTGATGTAACAAACTTTCATGGTTGACGAGACGACGCGCCCAAGGGTGTGATAAATGCGCGAAGCGTAAAGTAACGAGCGGGAAACACGCGTAAATGTAGCAAAAGTATCGAGGAAGGAAAAATCAAATGGCCCGTGTATCGCGTGCTGACAAATTGAACGTTTCCACGTTTGACTTTCGTGGAAAATTAACGGATCGAACGTGTACGATTCCGCGATCCTGAAAATGAACAGAAATTTCCCGGCATTATCTATCGGAGCGAATGAAAACGCGTTGTCGGGCAGCGATTCATCGCGTGAAATCGCGGCGTAAGCTCGCCGCGATCGGGGAAAACGGTGGACTAAAGAGAAAACGCGCGCGGAATGGCAACGAAAAAGAGAAAACACACGGAGCTGAATAGCCCGTCCAAGCCATGCGTGATATAACACGGCGACGAGGTCCGAGCGTCACACGACAAATGGCGAGCCATTTGCGAAATAACGCATCGATAAACCCGCCGGCAAAACGAACGTCAGAATCGTTTCCTCTGCCCGTTTCAACCCCCTGCCCTCTCCCTCACTTCGATTCGCCCCGCTGGACCATCTGAATGGGAGGTGTGGTCGCATTCCTCGAACAAGAAAATACTTGGCATTTCGTATTCGCCCGGCAAAGGGTACGTTTTCCCGCGGCGATAAATTTAATCCAACGACGCTAAATAGCGATGACCGAACCCCCGGAATGTCGCCAGTTTGATCATCGCGAAAAACTAGAACTCGCGTTGTCGCGATATTGGATTTCACGTCGCAGTAAAAATTATTTCTTCCCCGATGAGAATCGTTCCCGAACTTTTATCGATCCCCCAGCTTCGCTACGATTTTCATTCTCCGACCGCTTCGATAAATCTTGAAAAATTTTTCCACCTCGTTCCCGGTACGCGTTCGCTGGAAGCTGGACGTGGAAACTCGATGAAATTTTTGAACGCAACCCCTCTTTGTTCCGGCAAATCTTTATCCGACCGATGGAAGTATTGGCCGGCAACCAAATTGCGTGGGCTCTCTGGTGTTGGAGCGAAGCGAAGAAGGGTGCGGTGGAAGGTGGAAAGAGAGATTTGCAAGAGGGGTAAAGGTAGCAAGGGGGTAGACATGGGCGTGCCAAGCACTGTTTGGTCTCCGAAGAGAATATAGAGGGTGCAAGAGAGCTTCTGGTCGCTGGAGAGTGACTGTGGATGGATCGGCGTCAAAGTGAAGGAGGCTGATGTATATGCATGCTACTCCTGGGTCAACGGGATGGCCCGAATTACCATAAACACGCTAGATAGTAGACTAACTGCCGCTGTACCTCTTCATCCTTGCCCATTCTCTCCTCTTCTCTCTTTATTCGTCTACCTCTTTCGATTCGTCAAACTGGATCGCCAAATTTCGCCACTTTGATCGTTCGATACCGACGCGAACGTTTGTGCGGTTACTTTTTCGAGACGCGTCGATACGCAACAACGCAAACAACCGAACGTTAAATTGAATTTCGCGGGATCTTCTCGTTGAGTAAGCTCGTAGGAGAGTTTCCCGTGTCAGGATCGGATCGTGTTCTCGG